ACAGCTGTTGTTCTTCTGGGATTCTGCTGGTAAAGACGGGCAGCTCTGTTTTCTGGCAGATAGAGCTCTGCTTATACAGCTCCGGTCCATGTAATAGCTGAGTGCCACACAAACCCTAAGCCTCACAATGCCACTGTGGGTCAGGGACATATTATCATCCAGCTTTACAGACGGAGAGCTGAGGCACAAGACATTATGCGACTCCCCCACGGTCACACAAGGACTCTGGGGCAGAGCCTGGAATTGAACTGAGATCTCCTGAATCCCAGTCACTTTAACCATGAGATCATCCATCCTTGCTTATTTGGAGATCCTATGGGGAGGTGCTAAATCAACTCACTGCCTTGCAGTGACCTCTGTTCCACACCACCCATTTTTGGAGCTTCATTGGTCACTACAGGAAACAAAGGGTAGGAATAAATGCTCAATTTTCAGAATGGAGAGAGGTAAGTAACAGGGTCCTCCAAGGATCTGTGCTGGGACCAGTCCTATTCAACATATTCATAAATGATTTGGAAAAGGGGTAAACAGTGAGGTGGCTAAGTTTGCAGATGATACAAAACTACTCAAGATAGTTAAGTCCAAAGCTGACTGTGAAGAGCTACCAAGGGATCTCACTAAACTAGGTGACTGGACAACAATATGACAGATGAAATACAATGTTGATAAATGCAAAGTAATGCACATTGGAAACCATAATCCCAATTATATATACAAAAATGATGGGGTCTAAATTAGCTATTACCAGTCAAGAAAGAGAACTTGGAGTCATTGTGGATTGTTCTCTGAAAACATCTGCTCAGTGTGCAGTGGCAGTCAAAAAAGCGAACAGAATGTTAGGAACTGTTAGTAAAGGGATTGTTAATAAGACAGTAAATATCATAATGCCACTATATAAATCTCTGATATGCCAACACCTTGAATATTGCATGCAGTTCTGGTCGCTCCATCTCAAAAAAGATTTATTAAAAACGAAAAAGGTACAGAGAAGGGCAACAAAAATGATTAAAAAGCAACAGAGGGTCCTGTGACTCCTTTAAGACTAAAAGAAATATTGGAGCATAAGCTTTCGTGGGTGAATGCCCACACGTCTGTTGAAGTGGGCATTCACCCACAAAAGCTTATGCTCCAATACTTCTTTTAGTCTTAAAGGTGTCACAGGACCCTCTGTTGCTTTTTACAGATTCAGACTAACATGGCTACCCCTCTGAAAAATGATTAAGGGTATAGAACAGCATACGTATCAGGAGATTAAGAAGACTGGAACTCTTCAGCTTGGAAAAGAGATGACTGAAGGAGGATATGATAGAGGTCTATAAAATCATGGATGGTGAGGAGAAAGTGAATAAGGAAGTGTTATTTACTCTTCACGTAATATAAGAACTAGGGGTCACCCAATGAAATTAATAGGCATCAGGTTTAAAACACACAAAAGAAAGTACTTCTTATCACAATGCACAGCCAACCTGTGGAACTCTTTGCCTTTGTGAAGGCCAAAAGTATAACTGGATTCAAAAGAGAATCAGATAAGTCCCTGGAGGATAGATTCCATTAATGACTATCAGCCAAAATTGTCAGGGATGCAACCTCATGCTCTGGGTGTCCCTAAGCCTCTGACTGTCAGATGCTGGGACTGGACAAGAGGGGATGGATCACTTGATGATTGCCCTGTTCTATTCATTCCCTTTGAAGCATCTGGCACTGGCCACTGTCGGAAGGTGTACCACTGGTCTAACCCAGTATAGCTGTTTTTACGTTCTTACAGCTACCCTTTGGCATCACAGATGTTGCAATTATTTTGTGCTCCTACAACCTCACCCTCCCAGTGGATTATCAGCAACTGGGGACATAGGCCATGCTAACATAGGGCTTGTCTATACATTTACAGCGCTGCAACTTTCTCGCCCGGGGGTGTGAAAAAACACACCCCTGAGCGCTGCAAGTTTCAGTGCTATAAAGCGCCAGTGTAGACAGTGCACCAGCCCCAGCGCTGGGAGCTATGCCCCTCGTGGAGGTGAGTTTTTTATAGCGCTGGGAGAGCTCTCCCCAGCGCTATGCCACGACTACACAAGCCATGTTAAAGCACTGCTGCAGCAGCGCTTTAACGTTGCTAGTGAAGATGTGCCCATGATGTAATGGACTTCATGCAAACCAAAGCAATCTAGGGCATGTCAAGTTCTTCAGGTGGAAAATCCTACAGCAATGCAGTGAATATGCTAAGATAAACACATCTAAGACAATGACTGGAGAATGACAAAGTGCAAGAAATGGATGCTAGGTTCAGCCAGTGGATTTAGCCTAAATTTATGTAATATAAAAAAAATTACCCTAATTTGGGGGCCATTCAGACACACAACGAATAAATAAGGCTTGGTCTACACTAAACCCCCAAATCGAACTAAGGTACGCAACTTCAGCTACATGAATAACTTAGTTCGAACTTACCGCCGTCCAGACCCGGCAGGCAGGCTCCCCCGTCGACTCCGCGTACTCCTCGCGGCGAGCAGGATTACCGGAGTCGACGGGGAGCACTTCTGAGTTCGATTTATCGCGTCCAGACTAGACGCGATAAATCGAACCCAGAAGTTCGATTGCCTGCCGCCGAACCAGCGCGGTAAGTATAGACAAGCCCTAAGATCACAGCAAATGTGATTCACACTAGGCACCTTAGAAGGGCTCACATCAGCTGTTGAAATTGTAGGGGGAAAGGCTAGGCTTGCTCTTTGAGGAAAAAAAACAAGGATCAGAAATTACTTCTCCCTGCTGGTTTGGCATGGCCCTGATTTATCCTTCTGAAAACTTCTGAGTCCTCTTAAACCACCTAAAATGTCTCAGAAACTAATGATACCTTTTAAATCCTTCATGTCAGAGTAATATTGAATATTTGTGCCTGGAACCATTCCCAAAGCTCAAAGTGTATTAAGAGAGATTAGTTCATTAATCTACTCTTTGGTACTATGTGCCTTTATAATTTTATTTTAATAATGTATACAAATTGGCAGACCAGATCCCCCTCAAGTCTTAGAAAGTTGGCTAATAGGTAATTGCTTTACATCACAAAACAAACACATTGACTTGGAACCATCTAATGTCCTTACAGTCTCAATGTCCTTCCCGTAGTGAGTGCACAAGAGAAGCTCCAAACTCAATGCCTTTAAGCTTGACTGATTGTGGATTGTACAAGGACTGGAAGTTGTTGGCATGTCAGCTTGGTGGGTCACTGCTGTCCATTTCCTTTTCACATAAAAGGATGCATCTTTCAGGCTGGAGAAGTGGACAGACCGGCAAGCTGACCTCACAGCTGTTCCTTGGTTTGTCTCGAATACAGAATATTTCAGTGTTTAAGGAGAGAGAATGTTTCAACAGGATTATGTGACTGAGTCCAGACCCGCACTTCAGCCCTAATCTCATGCAATGGCTTTTGTTTTAGTTTTGAAAAACTTCTCCCTGAACCCACAGAAGGCGCTCAGTTCTCCCCCTGGGTATTTCCTTTCTTCTTTTAAAGGAAGTCATAAAACCTACTCAATAGCTGCTTTTGCTTTCTGGCAAAATGATGCTACTCTGTTTGTAAGGTTCCATATTTTTGTCCTGCAGCCTGTCATCCCCTGTGCATCACATCTGTACTCTGTGTCCTATGAATATTAAGGAACCTGCCTGGGATTAGGAACTTTTCTTTGCATTATTTATTGTTTTTATTTGTTGGCCTTTTCTCCCTGCCGAGCTGAAGACACAGATACAGTTTTATTAAAGAGGGAACATATATGTATTCAGAAGGATACTACATACCATCAAAGTCACTTAAAGTGGACTAATCTGTGTCCAATATTCTTTATAAATTAAAGCACAGACTGCACATGGCAAAGTGCAGACCAGCGTAAAGTATGAGAAGTGCAAGTTATGGGTATAAAACGTTCAGGCTGTGCTGTAAATTTACACAGCACTTTAGAGAACAGAGATAAGAAACTTTCCCTGCCCAAGGAGCTTACAACCTAAAGATGAGATAAATATAAAGCAAGTCATAGCTAACAGCTCAGGAGAGGGATGGTCTGATGGATACAAATGAAGGAAGGGGGAAATTTCTACAGAGATGTGACTTCAGGTGGGTACTGAAGGGAGAAGTGGAAGTTGTTTAGGAGATGAGGTCAATGGGAGTATTCCATCCCTTTTAATTGTTGTAATATGCTAACCTCCAAACAACCATCGTTACACAAATTCCTCAAACGCAGCTCACCTGGCAGGAAGATCACACTCCTCTGAGCCAAAACTGAAATGCACAAAATCAGTTCAAGTGTCCGGCATCAAGGCATAACTGGTTTCCTAGAAACCACGATAAGCTGAAAGCAGATTTACACCTGGGTGGAGCCATGAGGACGCATCAGGTTACCATGCATCTGGTGCGTCAGACCAAAGCCAACCACCACTAGTAAAATCTTAGTGAAAGCAGAGATTGGAGTAGAAAGCTCAGCACAGCACGAGATTCATTGTATTTTCAGCTAATTTCATTCCTTGTTTGGAATTTTCTCACATCTCTGCACACAGATTTTGGCTGAGCTGAGAAGCATAAGTGCCAAATATACCACTCACTCACTCATGCCCGTCACCCCAATCGGGGTATGGGCCGCCAACCACCTCTTCCCAAAGTATTTGTGACCTATCTGAAAACAGAACATGCTCCAAACTTGTGAGAATGCCTGTTCTCATCAGACTTCCGTGCCAAAGAGTGATATCCAGAATGCTTTGCTACAACAAAGCTCTAGAGGAACAGGTAAACAAAGAACCAACATTGCATTTCAGGTTCAAAGAACGCAGTCAGACTGATCTATATTCAGCCCTGCCTCTCTCTACAGGTACCTACCAATATCTTTGTGTCGATATTTGTAAATCACTTTGGGATCCTTGGATGAAAGCCATTATGGGAGTGCATAGTGTTTTTCTTATATCTACATCTACTATCACCCACACCAGACAGACAGATAAGTACTAATAGGAAAAGTACTCACTTGGTCTGATGTTTGGAGCCCTTCAGATGAGCGTGATACTGTTCTATTGAGTTTAGAGTGACATTACAGATGTTACAAGTGTAACTACGCTTCAGACCTGTGAACAAAACCCAACATGGTTAGTTGCACTACGTTATTAATAACACAAACCAGCAGTTATTAGGAACAAGCTGTGCATTTGTGTGTCCTAACGTGAGAGCTACAGCAAAAAAGGCTGACCGAGAAGAGACCTGTTGTAGAAGTGGCCTAGCTCGTTTAAGCATAATCTCTTTTGTATGTTGTAACACAGAAAGAGCTCTCTCTTGTCCTGCCAACAACTAACCACTTGGGAAAACACAACGATAATACCCAAGAAATAATGCATATATGATCAACTGAACTAAGGATTTATGCCCCCGTTTTTTCAGTTGCAATTTGCTATTCTTCTTTCGCTCTGTCTGTCTGTCTGTCCTCTGTGCATATTGTCTTAGACAGCCATCATCATTCTATACATGGCTTGATCATCATCTTTATATAAATGGCCTAATCTTTTATTTGCTAAATGCTTCCTAATGCAGATGAAGCCAGAGAGAACATGGAACAGAGGGAGAAAAGAATCCATTTCTTTTCAGACTGTGCGATTAACTCCTGCTGGCTCTATGGTCTACCATGTTTTGAATCAAAAAGGCAGCTGGATAATATAAGCATGTATGAAATTCACCCCAAAGAGAATAAGGTTGAAAATAAGAAGGATTGTTTTAAAAAAATCCAGCATAATTCTCATTAATTAGAATACACTCAACCCATACGTCTCTCTTACCATTTCCAATTTCTTCTCAACAAAACAATTCCCTCCCTACCAACTTATGTCCTGATATAACATCCAGCATCCTGAAATGTAAACATCAGTGGAGTCTGAGCAATAAGGGAGAACATCACTGCAGCCCATGAAGTAGAGTAAATACCAGTCTCCTATCTATTACTATTATTATTAGACTAGGCATCTCCCTCCCCTATGATTTGCCACAAAAGTGACTGTACGTGAACTGGTGGGTATGAGAAGTTCTGCTTCTCTCTCTCGCTCTCTCATTTTGTTTGGTAGTTGGCACAGTTCAGCGTGACTCATTATTATTATTATAGTGATAGACAGAATGTTCAGAAGAGCTCAACACACACAATCAGGGACAGATCTTCCAAAGGGACCAGATGTCCTGTAACCAACCAGATCTGCAGGGTGCATGTTGCCCCTTTGAAAATCTGCCCCACATTGGGTGAGCTGATCACTTGAATATTGGATCTATGTTGCAGGGAGGCCTATCAAAACCAGAGCTATGTGCTAAAATGCCCGACACATTTATAGTTGGTTGCAATATCTGTCTAGGGCTCTTGATGATGGTGTTCTACTCTTCCACACAAAGCAATTCCTGACACGCTAATTTTAGCTTTCCTGTTCTTTGCTGCAATAAAAAATAGTAATTGCTATTTATATAGGTGCTCGTCTGGCTGCTGGTCAACTGAATACCACTGAACAAGAAACAACATCTCAGTGTCAGAGGGGTAGCCGTGTTAGTCTGAATCTGTAAAAAGCAACAGAGGGTCCTGTGGCACCTTTGAGACTAACAGGAGTACTGGGAGCATAAGCTTTCGTGGGGGAAAAACCCCCCTCTTTCCTCTTTAGAAAGGAGGGTTCTTCACACCCAAAACTATTGTTCCCTGCACAGTCCTACAT